CACCACGCGGGACCGAGGGGTGGCGGCGGGTGGGACAGAGGACAGCGGTAGAGGGGGCAGGGCGTGTGTGATGGGGACACTGGGGAGAGGACAGCGAAGGGGAAGCCTGGGCCGGGAGCAGCTGGAAAAGGGGTGGCACAGGAGAGGGTGCCAGGGGAGACTGGGCTGGAACCCGCCCAAGCCAAGGTGTGCCCTCCTGGACTGCGCCAAACCCGCAGGTGCCCTGGGCTGGAAGTGAGGGGGCAATGGAGCCGGCTTAGCACCAATCCTTGGGCCTGTCCCTGAGTTCTCTGGCTTCAACTCCAGACTTCGAGGCATTTGGTGATGGCACCCCAATCAACAAGTCTCTACTGGGTGCATACTGCGTGCCCGTCGCCTTGGTGGACTGGGGCTGGAGACAGAGGAGCTGGTGTCTGCTTTCGTGGAACATGCCCAAGAGTAGGGCTGGCCCCTTGTTACCCTGGGGCTGCCTGGGCTGAGGGTTGGAGCCTGACCAAGTGTGCCTGGGGGCCCTTCCACACCCATTCCCCAGAGCTAGATGGCAACAGGTCTGGGCCCCATGAGAGGGGGGCCCCACTCCACCTTAATCTTCACCCCCACCACCTAGTCCTGACAATGGAAGCCCTGCAGAGGAGGGGGTGCTGACAGAGGCAGAGACGACCTCCCAGCACACTTTCTCTGCCAATTTTTGCCTAAAATATAGGACACAGACCTGGCCAAATGCCATGGTGGGAGGGGGGACAGGACGAGTGTTTAAGGTGAAAGGGACCAAAGACAAGGGGAGCAGAGACCAGGCTCTGTGCTAGGTCCAGCTCTCTCCTCCCTCCAACTCAGCCCCCACCCACAGGTTGTTCAGGGCTCAGCCTTGGCCACCAGGACCCCAGAAGATCATGGGGTCAGAGGACCTCTCAATTATAGGAAAGGGTGCTCCCCAGTGGCAGTGGACTATGGGAGGTCCCACCAAAGAGGAGGAGTCTCCACGGGCAGTGAACAGAGTCCTCAAAGGTTGGACAATGGGATTGTACCTTGGATGGCCCTGGAAAGGTTTGCAGAGAAGGTAAATGTCCCAGGGCTGGGCTGGGTGAGTTGGACCCCGGCACCCAGGCTCACTTCCTGAGCCCCTAGCTAATGAAGCAAGGGGCAGGTCACACACAGAGGGATGTGGGGCCAATCTGGTGCTCCTTCTTGCCCCCAACTCATGCTCTTTGCTCGCACCTCTCGGAAGCTGGCCCAGGTTCAGGCAGCTTTGGAAACCAGTTTGGAGCTGCTCTGGGCCTTCTACCCCCTGGGTCTTTCCCAGCCCAGCTTTCTAGGGATGGGGTGGGGGGCTCCGAGTCCTTAGTCCACCAGTTGTGCATGTGGGCTGTGGGGGTGCCCCTCAGGCTTGTAGAGGTTCCAGGCCATCCCAGAGCCAGCTTCCACAGGACACCCGCCCGGCCTGCATGTTGGACGGGGCCCCTCAGCCATTCTGAGCTTCTGAGGGATGAACATGGGCCCCCAAAGGTGAGTGGCTTGCTCCAGGCAGCACCCAGCCCCACAAAGGCATGCGCAGTAGCTCCTGGCAAGGCTCAGGTGTCTCCTGGCCAGGCTCTTTCTACCAGGCCCTGGGGAACTATGCTGAGGGCTGATGCCCAAGCCCAACGTCAGCACCAAGGACAGCACCAGCATCTCCAGCTCGCCACTGCACCTCGCTATGCTGATTGCCATGGTGTTAACCCCCAAAACCCAAAAGAGGAAATAGGGGCTTCGGTGACTTGCCCACGGCTGTCCAGATTGTTGGTGGTGGTACAGAGCCCCCAGTTCAGCTCTTAGACATCACACTCTTTCACCATGGTAACAGGTGACATTTCCACCAGAGGAGAACTCATAGTTTGGGAGTTCAAATCTCTGAGGCCCAGATTCTAATGGACCCACTGGGGTCTCCAGCCACAGCCTCACAGTTACAGGTCCCATGTGGTGACCCTGGGCCTCTGCTTTGAGACGTGGTGGCTCCAGGTGGCACTGATGGAGAGAAACTGCAGAGGAAAAGCTGGAGTCCTTTCAGTCTTGGTCTTTGGGGCCTGAGCCAATGCAGCCTTCCTGAGGGCCCCGGGGAGGCCGCCAGGCTATAGGGTTGCACCACTCTTCTCACCAGCCAGACCACAAAGGCCCAAGGACCAGGGCCAGGCAGGGCCCAGAGGACAGAGCTCTGACAGGCAGACGCAGGAAACGAGATCCCTTCACTTCATATATTTTGTTGCTATTTTACAGGAAACAATAACACATGTTCCCTGTTGAAAAATTAGAAAATGGAGATAAGCAAGTGACAATAAAGATCCAGTAGCCAGACATAAACTGCTAACATTTGAATTTTATCATCCAGCTTTTTCCACGCAAATCTATTTGTATTATTTTTTTAATAAGTTACCTCCAACCCTGAGCCTTTATCACACATGGTCTGTCAGGCTGCCAGCACGGGGACCATCCCACCCCATCTCAGAGCCCAGTCCCTGGCCTAGGACCACGCCATGCATGTAGTAAGTGCTCTGTGAATGCTCTGTGTTCAACGAGGCCATGCGGTTTGTTTGGTAACCTGTTTTTTTCTCTTTTTCTTAAATATTGGATGGCCTTCCTCCATGCCATCGATAATATTGTCACCCCCGAAACTCATGTTGAAACCCTAACCCCCAATACGATGGTGTCAGGAGGTGGAGCCTGTGGGAAGTGATTAGGCCGGGAGGGTGGAGTCCTCATAAATGGGGTTCGTGCCCTCATGGAAAAGACCCCACAGTGCTCCCTGCCCTCTACCACATGAGGACACACCACAGCCATCTGTAAACCAATGGGGGCTCTTACCTGCTGGCACCTTCGTCCTGGACTTCCAGTCTCCAGAACTGAGAAGTGAATGTGGCCTCTGTTACAGCAGCCGGACAGAATGACATTTCACACCTACAGCAGGGGCCAGGGAGCTACAGCTCCTGGGGCCAAATCTGGAGGCTGCCTGTTTTGTAAATAAAGTTTTATTGGAACACAGCCACACCTGTCCATTCAAATAGTGTCTGTGTCTAATTTTGTTCTACAGGAGCAAAGCTGAGTCGCTGTCACAGGGACCCTGTGGCCCAGAAAGCCAGAAATACTTAGTATTTTACTATCTGGTCCTTTAAGAAAAGGCCATGGTGAGGACACCTGCCCAGGAACAGTTAGGACACTGTCCAAGACCCGCTCTTCCCCTCTGGTTTCCCTGCCCCTGGCCCCCCTGTGCCCAGAGGGAGGAAACCTGCTCACTCAGGGCAAGGGAAGAGAGAGAGAGAGAGAGAGCCCCTGGCCTAATCTTCGAAACTTTTGTAACCTAATCCCAGCCTGACATCCTTTACTTTTGTCTGTTCAAGTGGGAGCAAGTTGCTGGGTGCCGCTCACACATAAGAACAGGATTAGACCAGCCTGAAGGTCAGGAGGCAGGGACATAGGGCAGGAGCACAGAGACCACAAGGGACACGGCCGTCTGCAGAGGCTCCCAGGGACAATGGTGACGTGGGCAGGGAGGCAGGATGGTCCCCAGGGGCCACGTCTCCAGCTGACTGACATCCTGGTTTCATCCCCCTGACTCATCTGGACGTTTGATGACATTCTCACTAAGTGTCAGCTGGCTGGGGCTCTGACGTCCCTGAATGCTCTCCATCCCTATCACCAGTGACCCCGTTTTGCCTTCTCTCCAGGAAGCACCACCCTTTCTGGGGAATTCCCAGAGGGGCAGGAACTGGTCAGGTGCTGTGCTGTGCTCTATTTGCCCCCAGCATGGTGGGGTGGGAGTCCATCTGCAGTGTGGAGACTGAGGCTTAACAAGGAGGGAGCTCCACTGAGACCCACAGCCAGGCCCACTGCTCCCCACATGCTCCCCAGCACCTCCAACCATATGGCTAGACCTCAGTGTTCAGGAGGAGCCCAAAAGGGGTACCTGTGACTGAGGGCTGTGCTCAAGCCCTTCCCTGGGGGCTGGGTCTGGAGAAGGCTCTGGAAGACCAGTTCTCTTCCTGAGAATCCTCCTGTTGCCTGGCAACAGGTAGCCGTCTTCCCTGACAGCCCTGGGGGTGTGTGTGAGTCCTGGCTGTCACAGTGAGGGTCCCTGAGCCACCCCACCAGCCTTTCTGTACACCCTGCACTCAGCACCTGCTGTATCCTGTATTGTTCAAAGGTGAGGAGACATCACAGCTCCGTCCTGTTCACTGCGGTGCCCCCAGGGCCCAGTGTGTAGTAGGTGCTCAATAAATTTTTGCCAAGTGAGCAAATCTGCCCTCTCCTGCTCCACCCTAGCCCGAAGAGCCCTGTCCTCCCTCCCTCCACCTCATTTACCCAGGAGGAAGGAGCCACCAGGCACGTGCTGACTTTTATGTTCACTATGGATGTCCCCTCCCAGTGGCCCATGAGGCAGACATGTGGCCACAATGTGACAGGGAGGGAACAGAGGGCCTCAGCCAGAGCCTGTATCTACTGGTTTTTCAGAACAAAATATCTGTGAAGGCAAGAAAGATATTTGTTTTGTTTTGCTTGTTCACGGCTGTGTCCCTGAAGCATACAGTAGATGCTCAGTAAGTATCTGAATGAATGCCTGTTCTCTCCCCATCTATTAGTCTTAAATAATTCCCTCCACATTGTGTCCCACCTTCCCTGGCCCCCACCCATCTGTATGCCAAGTGCCCATACCCCTATCATCCCCTGCTTACTTTTCCTGGCCCAACACCCACTGTGGTGCCCAGCACTCAGTGCCTATTGAGTGGAAGTCCCCTATGGTAGTGCCAGGCAGGCCTGGAGCCAGAGCTGGCTGAGCAAACAAGCACAGGACACTTTTTTGGGGGGCAGGGATGTCCCAAAGCTCATGGAGAGGACAGCGAGGTGGCATCATCAAGGTCCACCTGGGACAGGAGACCGCTCACTCAGCCTGGCCAGGTGGCCACATCTGCCATGAGGAGCTTCTACAGCCTCTCACAGATTCAAGGTCGTACCAAACCCCCAACATGGGTTCTGAGGCTGGAAAGCCAAAAAGAATAAGAGTATTGACAACAGAGGCCCTGCCATGGTCCTGCTACACCACACTGCCTCCTGAGAGAGCCCTGCCCCACAGCGGCACCCCTGAGGTATAAGCAAGACTAGAAAGGGAGAGAGCAAACTGGAAAAAGTCAACACAGCAAAACGCAAATTTCCTTAATATGCAAACAGCTGCCATGATTCAAGCAAATAATGAATATCACAACAGAAAAACGGGCAAGGGGTGTAACAGGGGAACCACAAGAAAAGGTAAGTTGGCAGCAGGTATGTGAAGAGGCTCAGGTTCATGAACAATAAAGAAATGCAAATTAAAACAACAGTATTCTGGTGTGGTTGAACAAGATGGTGGCATAGATAACTGCGGTACCCGCCATCTCCCACAACCACACCAAATTACAACTAAAATACGGAACCACCATCACTCAGAGCCCTGAGAGCTGGCTGAACGGAAGCCCTACAAGAGGGACTGAAGAGCAGCGAGACCGGGAGGAGGGGCGGGGACGGGGGCGGATTCCGGGCAGAATGCCGGAGACGCAGCCTCCGTCCCTCACCCGGTGCCCCAGTTCAAAACTGGGAGGGAATCTAGGTGGTGGAGGTTTCCTAGAGGAGTGGGGGCCTCAGCCCCACATCTGGCCCCCAGCCCAGGGCTCCAGGGCCAGGAAGAGACGTCCCCACAATTTCGGGCTGTGAAACCAGCGGGGACTGTCGCTGAGAGACGTGGAGGCTGCGGGAGCCCCAGGCTTTCCTCTTAAAGGGCCAGAGCATGGACCCACTCAGACGCGCTCCCTCTGAGCTCCAGTGCTGGGCTGCAGCTTGAAAGGAATCTGGGACATTCAGGGAGGAATTAACTTGCCTGTAATCAGGGAAAGAGCTGGAGGGGCAGCTTTCTCACAGACAAAAGAGCTGGCAGAAGCCATTGCTCCTTAGATGAGCCCTCCCTCCACAGAGCTGGCAGGCAGGTGCCTTTCTCTGAATCTGTATCAACCTGACTCGTACCTTTTGCCCAGCCCTGGTGATTCCCAGACACCTGCCCCTCCCTATCTGCAAGCTCACCCAGGCCATTTCCAGTGGCTTTTCTATGCAAGTGGCCTCTTGAGCCTCATGCTTAGGACTTTTCTAAAATCTCTCAAACAAGCAGCAGCTGTCCTCAACATGTATCATACCTCTTGATAAGTGGCCCCAGGCCTGGCCCTAGTGGCAGCCTGCATTGGTTTATAGCTTGGCCTCTCCTGGACACCTCTAAGCCCAGCACAAGTAGCAACCATCTATGGTTTGCTGTGTAGCTCATGCTGGGTGGCCCTGAGCAAGGCACAGGCAGAGGTTGATTTTGCACCTCCCGGGAGGCCCCAGAGACAGTGAACCTGGTGGTCAGCTTCAACCACACTGGATTACAACCCTACCACATCCACAAGTGACACACTCGAGAGGCAGACTCGGTGAACACCAAAGCTCCACTGAAGTAAAACCTGCTCCATAGTGGGTGTCTCCAGCACACCAGCTCTTCAGCTGCAGTTACCTCTGGTCCTCACAGCCGATTGGCCTGGGAGTCAATTCTTCCCAGTGATGCCAAAGCAACCAAGGCTCAACTACAACAGGACAGCGCACACAGCCCACACAGGGGAGCACCTAGAAGGCCCAGCTTAGGTGACTGGGGAGGCTGAGCCACTGGGCCCTACAGGATACCTACTCCACAAAGCCACTCTGCAAATTCCAGGAAACATAGCAGCTCTACCTAATACACAGAAACAAACACCTGGAAGCAGCCAAAATGCAGAGGCAACGAAACATGTCACAAAGGAAAGAACAGAAGAAATCTCCAGAAAATGAACTAAATGAAATAGAACCAAGGAAACTACTAGATACAGAGTTCAAAATAGTGGTTATAAGGATGTTCAAGGATCTTAGTAAGACTATTAAGGAAACTAGTGAGATCATCAGTGACATAAAGAACCAGTCAGAAATGAAGGTTACACTAACTGAAAGGAAGAATAATTTACAGGTAATCAACAGTAGAGTAGAGGATGCTGAGAGTCAAATCAGCAATTTGGAACATGAGGAAGCAAAAAATACCCAACCAGAAGAGCAAAAAGAAAAAATAATCCAGAAATAGGAAGATAGTGTGAGGAGTCTCCGGGACAACTTTAAGCATCCCAACACTGGCATTATGGGGGTGCCAGAAGGGGAAGAAAGAGAGCAAGGAACTGAAAACCTATTTGAAAAAATAATGACATACCTACAAAGGAACACTCATAAGACTGTCAGCTGATTTCTCAACAGAAACCTTGCAGGCCAGAAGGGAGTGGCAAGAAATATTCAAAGTGATGAAAAACATGGAACTACAACCAAGATTACTCTACCCAGCAAGGCTATCATTTAGAGCTGAAGGTCAGATAAAGAGCTTCTCAGACAAGGAAAAGCTAAAGGAGTTCATCACCACCAGACCAGCACTACAGGAAATGTTGAAGGGTCTTCTTTAAGAAGTGAATGAACAAAAGAATCTGACAAACTAAATAGACCCAGAGACACTGACGCATGCAATAGACAATCATATTTCAGAGGGAAGGGGGGTGGAGGGTGCGAAGAGATTAACAAAGAAGTTATATGCATATATGTATAACCCATGGACACAGACAATAATGGGGTGAAGGCCTGGGGAGGGGGTGGGAGCGAGGTGGAGGGGGTCAATGGGGGGAAAAATGGGACACCTGTAATACTTTCAACAATAAAGATAAATTAAAAAAAAAAATACCAACAACCATATCCTAGTTTCCCCATTGATGGGACTATTTCAATAGATTGCCAGGATCCTCCACTGGCATGGAGAGGAATGAGGCAGAGCTGAGCTGGTGGGCAGGCAGGACAGCAGGGCACACCTGGTGTCAACCCACCCACTTGTATAAAAAGAAAGGTCCCAGATGTTAATTCAGAGCATAATTACACATAAACCGCTCTGGCCAGGCAGATGCCTTCTGAGGCCTGAGGGTGCAGAGGAGGCGGCCTGTGTCTTTGCTCAGACTCTTCTCACAAAGAGCACATGTTTCTTCTGTAACTTAAAAAATGAAAAATGTGACTTAATATACACGAATCATAAAAGAAAAAGTGATAAGTACAACTACTTATAAATTGAAAACTAATGTGTGGGGACCCACAGAGTAGAGAAGAGGGTGCCAGCCTTGTG